ACTAAACAAGTCACTAAAAAAATGGACAGGAGGAAGATGACTAGACCAAGGACCTCAAACTTAAACAGACCTATAGATTCTAAGCATGTGACATACGTAAATAAAATAAAACCTAAAAATTAAGGCCTTTCTACTCTCTTGAAACTCTTCACATTATTTTTCTATCATTCATATTACCATTTTTGACAGAGACCTGAATTCCAAGAATAATGCTTTATTCTCAAAGCTACGGTAGAAAGTTACAGTACAAGCCTCAATATAAAAGGTCATTGACAGCACCACCTTCTGGTTTTCCCACCCTCCACCCCTACCCTATCCCTTGTACAGAGAAATGCTCTCTGGCCCTTCTCCATCTGAACCTCTTTTCTGTGGGCAAATAACTTGCTGAGTGAAGGGGATATGCCCAATAGCAGCCTGTTCTCTCTGCATCCTTCTAGAGTATATTAGACAACTTTCTACAAACTCTGGATCCCAGAATTCCCTGACAAAGAATGTGAGCTGCTTCCATGACTCATGAAATCCTCTTCCCTAGATCTATCCTCCTGAGAGGTAGGACTGCACCCCTCACCCCACGTGAGTAACTTAACACTAGAGAGTGGGCATGGTGTATCTGCAGTGGACAGAGTTTGTACAAGCAGACTAAACATTTTCTATAATATAGTAGTTTGTTGCTTTAATTTATATTTAATTATTAAAACATATGAAATGCAGGTATTTATTTGTACTCTTCCACAGTTCACAAATATTAAGGGGTGAGCACAGCTATTGATGCTTGGGATGGGTGTAGGAGAAGACTGTGGGGGAGGGAAGGAAGATGGACTTTATACTGGTATTATTAGATTCACCAGAAACTTGTCAGACAGTCTGATAATAGAATGGAAATTTTAATGCAAAAATTCCTATTTTAATAATCTTGACAAGTAATCAAAAAATTAACGCCTGGTAGCAAATACTGAACAGTCCAAATAATGCATTCTGTAGTCTAGAGCTTGCCACAGACCACCAGGTTATAATATCTGGACTTTAAAACAGTGTGTAATATAGTGGTGTTTCCAAAGCCCTCCCCCCAGAATCCTCAGTAGCATTGTTACAGTAGGCAATTAGTAGTCATTAACAAAAGGAAGGGTTCAAATGAAACAATTAGGAAGAGACAGCATTTTGCAGTCACCCTGGCAAGTCCTGCTGATTAACAGGGGGAGGGGAAAACAGTGCAGCGGGGAGTGCTTTTGCCAAGCACATATGCGATAGAACTCAAATGAAGCAGAACTATGAGGCATGCATAGTAGGAGGCAAAAGTGGCAACCATAAAGGTGGAGGAGACTACCCTGGGAAAAAGACCAGATAGGACAGGGGCACAAAACCCTAGGAAATCTAGGAAAGGGATTGGATGTAGGGAGGGCACCAGCACATCCCCAGGAAAGTCAAGCAAGAAACTGGATAATCTGAAATACAACCTGCCCATTCGCAAACCCACAAAAATATAATTAATGCTCAACAAAGGCCAGCCTCTGGGTGACAGCCACAGGCCAGAGCACAGTGCCAATCTCAGCCCAGGTGCCATTGAGCCTTGCCAGCAGATGGGAAAATCAGGTGGGAAAATGAGGCACAAAGAATTTAAGTAACTTGTCCAAAGTCACACAGCTAAGAATTTTGATGCCAGCCAGGAGCAGAGACAGCTGGACTACTGCAGCCTTGGGTGCCAGTGATAATGGCATTACAGCTCTGTGCCCTGCCTCTGCTGGGCCTTATAGACACAAGAGCAGACCTACAGCCCAGAAACTAGACTTCTTCTGCAGCAAGATGGAGCTGAATCACCTTGTCATGGATGAGACATCAGGTATCTGGGGGCAGATCTATAACATTGACCAGTTTCTGCTGCTGGGCCCGTCAGAGAAGTGCCTCCTCAAGTGCGGCAGCCTTTTCAAGTGGCGCTCTAACAAATCACACCACTATTGCTCAAATCCTTTTTGCCAGTGTTCCTGAAATGCTTTTCCCAAGACACAGCAAGAACCTATTTCCAGGCAGGTCTTTCTCCGGTAACATGATTAATAATGATGTTAATAATAATGCTTATTACTTATAGAATGCCTAATACACACCAGGCATTATATTAGGTCCATTGAACACATTATCTCAATAGCATTCATGCTTTCAAATGTGTTTTTGCATCTATGGGAGAGATTTGAAGCTCAACCATCAATTTTCACTTAGCCATCCCCTTTATGTTATTCTTATCAAGAAATCTATACTTTTGCTTGATGACTTGACTGTAGCAGGTATAAAGTGTGTGCATGTAAATTAGAACAATTTACCTGGTCTGTGGAGGAATTAAAGCTTAGTAAAGCTGTAATTAACTGAGTTAATCAGCTTTCCATATTGATTCCAGGGCTGCAATTCAGTAACAGGTTCTGGGCAAGTGAAACTTGAACCCTTCTGAGTAACATAGGGATTAGGAATGAAACTCTTCTGCTTCTGTGCCAATAAAGTATCATCTCTTGCTTATGACTTCTTTTATAGACTTTCTATAAGGCATTTAACTGATACTGTAGATAAGCTATAAAGTAGTTAATCACAATAAATTAAAATTTGTACTTAGTACTAAAATGTAAATTAATTGCATGTTTTCTCCCCAATTGAACCTTTTTAAACATATGGTATATATATATATTTTAGTGCTTCATTCACTCTAATGGTGATAATTTTATCAAGTTGTTAAAACTACTTTTCACTTTCTCATAGCAATTCAAGGGATGCAGCTAATGTGTCAGCATTGAAGCATCTCTTACAAACTCATTAGAGGCACAACCAGTCTTCGGTTCATCATAAAGTAAAATAGAGCAGAACGTTATCATCTGCCCATTGCCAAGCAGACAATGAAACAACTGGCCTCACTGTGAAAAAAAATTTCAAGTTTTCAAGAATCAAGGGCATCAAACACAGACAATTAATCTTTTCACTGCCATGTTTCATACTTTAGAATATCAATTTTACCAGCTTTGGTTGTTTCTTCTGTAACATCTTCTAGTGCAGAAAAGACATACAGTGATTCTACTTGAGTGTAGTCATGCTTTTTTAAATGACTAAGGACAACAGAATTATGAGGAATTCATGACTTACAAATGATATAAATTTTATAATGATTAAAAATGATCATAACTTACTTTTAATTAAGTAATAAGCCAGGGCAGATTTTCAGTAGTTTTGAAAAATGAACATTTCAAATGGCAGGAAATAACTCATGCAAAGATCATATATTGAGTACATAATGCTCATATTTCATTTTTACATTCTAAAGCACTTTCTACTCAGTTTCTCTAAGTTCCTTACCATCTTTATTTAGCCTTAAATAGTTAAGTTGACCAATTGTTTCTCCACAGTTGCTCAATATTTTGTTTAGTTATCTTTATGGTTTGGTTTCTTACAGTTCAGGGGATGTGGGTGTGTGGCAAGTAGAATCCAGATAGTCTATACACGTTTATATTTATATCACCACATGTGCCATTTTTATGGATATTATTCCAGAAATTTATTGAATTTTGTGTTTGTTTCAGTTTTATACAGAAATGGCTTCAGTCACTGCATGTAGTAAAAGCACCATTTTTAATAAGTGAACAAATATACAGAGTTAACATTTCAGTTTCATCAAAAAGGGAAGAATGAATCACACTGATAGAGCAATATGACTGAACCAACCTCTCCCCTCTTCCTCTAGATGCTAGGGCTTAACTGTGCTTATCTAGTTGCTAGTTCCAAGGTTTTCTTTTCTTTTTTTATTGTTGTTCAAGTACAGTTGTCTCCATTTTTCTGCCACAGCATTCACCCACCCCACCCACTCCCACCTCCCACCCTCAATCCCATCCAACTTTGGCTTTGTCCATGAGTCCTTTATACATGTTCCTTGATGACCCTTCTCTTCTTTCTCCTGTTACCCCACTACCCCCTCCTCTCTGGTTACTGTCAGTTTGTTCTTTATTTCAATGTTTCTGATTCTATTTTGCTCACTTGTTTTGTCAACTAGGTTCCACTTATAGGTGAGATCATATGGTATTTATCCCTTACTGCCTGGCTTATTTCACTTAGCATAATGCTCTCCAGTTCCATTCATGCTGTCATGAAGGGTAGGAGCTCCTTCTTTCTTTCTGCTGCATAGTATTCCATTGTGTAAATGTACCATATTTTTTTGATCCATTCATTTACTGATGGGCAGCTTGGGCTGCATCCAGCACTTGGCTATTGTAAATAATGCTGCTATGGACATAGGGGTACATAGGTTCTTTTGATTTGGTATTTCAGGCTTCTTAGGGTATAATCCCAGCAGTGGAATTTCCAGGTCCAAAGGCAGTTCCATTTTTACTTTTCTGAGGAAATTCCATACTGTTTTCCACAGTTGCTGCACCAGTCTGCATTCCCACCAACAGTGTACCAGGGTTCCCTTTTCTCCACAAACTCATCAGTACTTGTTGTTTGTTGATTAAAGCAGTAAATGTAAGGCTAAAATGCAATATGAACATAATGTATCTTAAATACACATGCCCACTATAACAAACATACCATGGACTGGTTGTATTATAAATAACAGAGTTATTTCTCACAGTTCTGGGGACTGATATGTCCAAAATCAAGGTAATGGCAGATTCTGTACCTGGTGAAAGCCCATTTGCTGGTTTAGAGGCAGCATCTTTTCTTGGTGTCCTCCCTTGGTAGGTAGCTCTCTGGGGTCTCTTTTATAAAGGCACTAATACCATGAGAGCTTCATCCTCATGTCCTCATCATAAGCCAAAAAGCCCCACCTTTAAGTACAGTCACAATTGGGAATTAGGGACCAACATACGAATGTTTGATGGACACAGACATTCAGTCTATAGCACTCCAGGTATTCTCAAAGGACTCAAAATTTACTCAGAGCAAACAATGGAACACTTTCACCATGTCAGAAGTTCTACCCACACATAAAAATCCATTTGCCTCTAAAACATTTTCTTTTTTTTCTTTTTTGTTAGGGTACATGAACTTTGAGTGTCATGGTGGTGATGAGCAGCTTTTGGAAGAACTGTGATGGCAACAGAAGACAAGCTATCTACCCACCTTCTACCAGCCTCCAGTCTCAGGATGACCCGGGACAGATACGTACCAAACAGAACGTTAGCAAATAACTACATGAGCAAATAGATATTAAACCAAGCCCTAAGTGTCTGCTGTCTTATTGCTTTGCATTTTCTAAGATTCTACCCTTACCTACTCTGAATGTATCATACCCTAGGGGCTTTTTAAATATTTTAAAGCAACTCTATATCTAAATTTAAATATATAAATCTCCTTAAAGAAACAATTTTCACTGGCATTTCTTTCCCATAAATACGAAATCTTATTTCACTTTTATACATAATGATATTCAGCTGTACTTATCCTAGCTATCTACTTGCATTTTAAAATGGTGTCACAACAACACTGAACAGTATATAGAAGGTTTAGTTTAATTGAATCATTCTGGAAGACTCCAAAGGAAATATGAGATGTGTGTTTCTTCATTAGTGTTGCTATGAAGCTTCACCAATATTTGCATAATTCTAGTATGCCTTTAAATTATTGACAAACAACAAAGAAAGGTTTGCATGAGCTACATAGAGCAGGGAAAATAGAAGACAGATGTGGTATATGAATATATTGCTTCTTTCATTTGAAGTCTGCTTAACATATGAAATGAGGTAGTGGAAGGTAGGTTCTGCCAAATAATTTGCAAAATAGAATGATAACTGCCTAATGAAAAAGAAATGTCATGGAAGAGCTCTAGTCTAGACAATTCACATCCTCAGAAAGAAAGTATCTGGTCATCTTTCTTAACATAAAAGAGACTTTCTGATATTTGATTAAAAACATTGCTTACCTTTTCTATTGCAACATGAAGCTCACAATATTACATAAAACTAACATTTTTTCAAATTATGCTTTTATCAAATTAAATGCCATAAAGAGAGTAAAATGAAGAATATATAGCAGACTTTTTGGTTCACTCCTCCACAAGCACTCGGCCCCAGGTGCTCAGTCTAGGAAAGAGCTCCCCAACTGGTTACATCAGTATTCCCAAGTGCAATCCGCAAACCAGCAGCTTTAGTACGATCTGGGAACTTAGTAAGATTGCTGTTTCTATCCACATTCCCCCAATCTACTACATCAGCATCTGCATTTCAGCAAGAGCTGGCACATGATTCATATGTACACTGGAGTTTAAGAAGCTGCTTTACCATGCTTGCGTCTCACAAGTAGATTTTGGGAGTGCCTTAGACGGAAGTTACTATCTCTCACACAGCCTAGGGTCCCAGACTATTCGCTACTGTCAAAATCAGGTTTGAATGCACACCTCAATGTGCCAGAGAAATACAGCTTTCCATATGTGTCATGGAGTTTAAAAAATAAAAGTTTGGGAAGTACTTGTTTGAGCTAATCTAGTTCATCCCATGACTCCTTCTAGACCAGGGGTGTCAAACTCATTTTCACTGGGGGCCACGTCAACCTTGAGGTTGCCTTCAAAGGGCTGAATGTAATGTTAGGACTGTATAAATGTAACTATTCCTTAACTAGGGGCAAGGAGCTCGGTGCTGCTGCTGGGTAGAAACAAGGTGCTGGGCCTGACAAAACAAGGTGGAGGGTCGGATTTGTTCCCCAGGCCTTGTGTTTGCCACCTGTGTTCTAGAGATTAGTTTAGGAAGGACACATGATCCTACTTCAGTCAATGAAGTGAAAGGTGAAGTCTTTTAGGCAACCAGGAAGGCTCTGGGAAAGTTTTGTTGTTTCTAAGATTGTCAAAGGAAGGGCACTCTTATTCTTTTGGCCATCGCTCCGTCAGGAGGCTATACCTGAAACCACTGCTGAAAGTCACCTTGCTAACATCTTAATGAAGACGCCAATGCTGAAGATGACAACACAGAAAGACTGAAAGAAACTGTCTTTCCTGATACTTTTGAGCCACAGCAGCCACCAGTCCTAGAGTCTGAATTACCACAGGATTGCTAGGTAATATATTTCCTTCTTGTTTCAGCCAGTTTTGGTGGAGGTTTCTGTTAGCTGAAAATCATTCTAATATAGAAGAAGAACAGGTAATCTGCCTGAGTATAAAGTGGTTTCATGTATTTTTAAAGACTGTAATGCAGTTCTGATGCCATGAGCATCTAGAGTGTTACCATCTATACTTTCAGCCAGTCCAAGCACTTACTCGAGTCTCCAGGAATGCAAGTTCCCAGTGGAAACTCCTTGAGCAGTGGTTGAAATGGGCTTCATCCTCCTGGCACATCATTATTCTCAGTGTGTTTACTAAAAGGATGGAAGAACGAATAAATAATGGCACAGGTGCACAAAATTAAAGTGCCTGTCCAACACATCTACAGTTACCATGAATCCATTTTATTTCTACATCTTCTCTTTTTAAAAACTACCAGAGCTCATTAATAAATTATTGCTGCTACGAGTTCCTGTCCACGTCATATACTTTTGGAATTTTACCCACTGCATTCATTGCATTTCTATAGGTCTCCCTTCATAGTCCCTAATTATACAGCATGAGGATATACATGTGATATTTGTTGAATAATGCAAAATAAAATACATTTACTGTAATGTCATGCCACCCCAAATCACGAGTTCATTGGATACCTTATATTTTTGTTTTCTACATATTCAGGGGTGTTTGCACAGCTGCTGGTTAAGTTACCTCATGGCTGAGGAAAAAGCTGTTGCTGGAGGCCATGTGTTTAGTTAAATCATCCTCTGTAAGAGGTCACCTGCTCACGGTAAATGCCGTTTGCCTTTAATAGTGCAGAGAGAGTCACTGTCAGAAGGAAATGTTGCAGGATGAGGTCAGCGTGGCTCTTACCTGTTCTAGGAGAATAATGAACATGCAGGGCACATCCATGTCACTGACTTTTCTTACTTCACTGGTGTTTATTTGAATGCAAGAGGTGTTCAAAGAGGAGAATAGTGACAATGCACTGAGAGGCAGGGCTCCTGCTCTCTTGGTAATTAGGTGTCACGTGGCCTCCCTTAGCCCCAGCAGCCTCATTTACAAGATGATGGTGTTGCATTTGATGGCAGTTCAGTACATTTTTATCAGAAAAAGTGGGCTTCTGACTATGACACAGAGTGCACAAACATGCCACCCCCAGTAAGCATAAGCAATTGAGCAACTTTAATGCCTCCATGTACTTTTAATCACATGGGGATAATACCACTAGCAAATTTTCACTATGCACTGGCCATATTTCAACTGCCAGTGTCTGTATCTCTGTGCCTATGAGCTTTCTCTGGGAACAGAGGACGACTGCCTTATGCTTAACCCACAGTACATAGATTAAGATTCCTCTCAACAAGGAACTCCCAGAAATTTCCCTGTGAATATCCCAGCTTCCTGGCCCCACAGGACCAATGCATCTTGGGCATGTGTTTTGTATAGTCTCTCAGAGTTTCCCACAAGTGTTAGCCCTGTGGACCACTATGAGATATTTCTTACTGGTTTCTTTCTTTCCCTGTAGCACTTCTTGTTCATTTCACTTCCCTAATGATGGTCCCTGCACTTGATAAATACAATTTTTGTTCTTGGATCCTATCTCAGGCTCTGCTTCCAGGAGAATCCAACCTAAGACAACACCATTATTAGCTTTCAAGGTGCACATCAGGAACTGGGGAGTATAAGTGTTTTGAGAGTGGCAAAGAGAGGCAGCCAAAAATTGAAACCAAAAATAAATGAGAAAATCATAGTAGGAAAAGGAGATCCAATAAAAGTAAAAGAGAGGAGTGGGTTAGGAAGAGAAAAAATATAGTATTAAGTAGGTAATCAGGACACACTTGTAAGTTAAAAATATATAAATACAGTGTACATTACCACATCCTTTTAAATGAACAAAATGTAAAGTTTTGAATCAATAATAACTTCCATTCAGTTGTGTTCCTCTGCTCTGAAAAAAGAGCAATGCAACAGCAATTCTACTGCTTGACATTCTGGCTAATGACACATGGTCCCTGCTGGCCCCTATTTCAAAGACAGTGAGTGCATTGGAGGGCCAGCTCATTTCAAACTTCTAATATGGGTACACTACTCAAATTAACTTACCTTCAGGTCTAAGGGTGACAAGATCGTGTCTACTAGGGTGGAAGATGGCCTTGTACAACGCTTCTGCTGTTTGAAACATTCTTTGGAAGCACACTTTGCACCTGGTTTCATACCTGCTTTCAGCACAGATGATAAGCACAGTGTCCCTTACCTAGTTATCTAAGACAAAGAGATTTCTCTTCAAGGAAAACAACAACTTCAATCTACCTTGGAGAGTTTATACTTAAATTGCAGTGAAACATGATTTTAATTCAATATAGAGGGAATTTAATAAGTAGCTTCCAGAGAAAGGGCATTAGAATAAATCCAAATATCTAATTGCATTAAAGAAACTATAATTGGTGAATTATAAATTGAAAGGAATTTCTGTAAAAAGATACTAAATTGGACATCAAACAACTGATTTATGTGATCATCCTGAAAATGTGAAATTATAATTCTTTATGAGAAAGCCTGTATAGGGGCTGCTAAAGAGAAAGAAACAAAGAAGGGGTTCCTCCCTCCTGGCTCAGCAGTAGCTTCCCTGGCCTAAAGGCCTTGCTGACTCTGAGCTCAGAGAAATGTGGCTGGGACCAGGTCATGAAATTTTTTGTAAACTGCATTGTGTAGTTTGCACTTCATCCCAAAGGTAAGGAGAGACCCATGAGAGACATTAAGTATGAACAGGTTTTTGATTTAGAAAGTTCCCTGAAACTTCTGTGTGAGGAACAGAGTGGGGGGAGGAGAGGAGATTAGAAACAAAGGAGATGGTGGTTATGATGGTTGTTAGGAGAGAGGTGAGCAAAGTCCAGCAGGAAGGTAGAGCTCTTACCTGTTCTCTTTGGGAACAGAGATAATAAAGGTTGGGAGTCCATAGCAGTCACTACTATGTGGTGTATGAGAAGTGCCGAGGCAAAGATCTAATGCATCCACATGGCTTTCACACCTCTTTTCATGCTGTCATTATCTAGATTTATATATTATCTCTGTATAGGAAGACCTGTGATAACTTACAAGTTAAAGTTAAAATGAAGTGCCAATCATCTATTTAAGTTGAATATATGCCTATCCTATGAGCTAGAAATTCTAGTCTTAGGTATGTACCCAACAGAAATGCACACGTCTGAGCACCAAA